TCCTGAGGAATGTTGATGATACTGGTCTGGAGACCACACTTTGAGAACCATTGCCACACCTTATTACAATACTAATTATCTTTCATGAGCAGGTAAGACCAGAAGTCAAGCCCAGGTGGCCCTGGGAAGCAGAATGAGAGGAACATGGTGTTTGGGTTTGGATAGATGTGGGTTGACATTCCCAGGCCTGCCACGTATTGTTTCTGTGACTTTGCCAAATTTATTTAACCTTTCTGAGCCTCCACATCTGTAAACGGGGATAACACTATCAGACAGGGCTGCTGTGGGAATTAAATGAGGTTGGGGGTGCGAAACACCTGTCCCTTGGTTGGTGCTCAGCTAGCAACCCTCCCTTCTGCTTTCCCTGGACGTGTATGACTGCCTGATGCTTTTGCCACTGCATTCGTTTCTCTCATGAGAGCTATGTTCTGGGGGTAGAGTAAGGCACAAGAGCCACAGGGGGGCTGTGCTCTGGAACTCGCATGGAACTGTCTGTCCAGCTGTGCTAGGTCAGACTGCTGCTGCTGGGGGTGACCTCGTGTCCCCAAAGGGAGAGTTGAACTACAATGGTTTTCTTTTTTTTTTCTGTCCACTGTCTCATTTCCCTCTGTCTCCTCTGTTTGCATATAACATACTTAACCCAAAAGCCGCAAGTCAGTCCTTTCCGACTTTTCTCCTCTCCTGCAGGTCCTCGGAGGGAAATCCCTCCACCCTGCGCACCTGTGCGCTGCAACGCCCACCTGAGCGCTGGTGTTTTTCCCTCCTTCCTTGGGTTGACTCTCAACTTCTTGACTGGGGATTTGAAAGAACAAGTGCCTGTGAATCCTGGCTGGGTTCCTTTGGGCTTTAGTGTAAAGTAACAATCAGTCACCACATATTCGCCAAGTGTCCTAAGGCACCTGACTCATCCCACTTAAATCAGAGAACTGGGAACCTCACCAAGAGCCACTAATGAAGTGTTATCGCACACTCCTGGCAGCCCCAGCGACAACTTTCTCTCTTTGGCAGCCGAGCCCGAGAGGGCGCCTGCTCTAACTTGGGCCTTGAGCAGAGCAGAGCCTGGCTCCTGCTGCCCTCCTTCCCGGATGAACACAGGTGGCCGGGGAACAGGGGCGCGAGGTTCCCTCTT